AGCCCACCGGCGGCCGAGTGGACTCCGTCTCCGCTTGATAGTGGTGACCAGACCCTAAACGCCGGAGTTCGATCGGAGGTTCGCGCCTCACTCGGACGAGCTGGCAGCGGGAGTTTTTTCCGGGTTTTCCTCCTTGCCAATGACGCCTGAATAGGGGCCAGCTTTCCCCCAAGTCCTCCCGGAAGGCATTTCTGTCTCCCTTTCTCGCGGGGGTCGTCTCTTATAAGACCGGCTTTGGTTACTTCGTAACCTCTCTTCTGTCTTCCTCGGATTGGTCGTCTTCTATAAGACCGACTCTTCCTTCCTGTTTCTTCCGGAGTGACAAAGCTGAGTGCTATACTACTCCACTGTGGTGAAATGAAATGAGATACTTCGTTGTTTGCCGTGATGTCCCTCGCTGGGGTGTTTCCCTCAAGGTTACATCTTCGTCCTTGCCGATGTATCCTCCAAAAGTTATCGACTTTCGTTGAGAGAATCTTCGGAAATTCCGATCTGAATTCACCGGACATCGTTTCCTGTTAGAACTGGAGTTAGAATGCAACATCCGGTCAGCGAATGAAAACTACCTTCGTCGCCCGATCTTCCTCTTCTTCATTTGAAGACTACGCGCCGAAATATACAAGGACTTCAACCTTCGTGACGATTGTACTTTATCTGTAAGTTAATTGTCTGATAAACGGGTTGTGTTGTTTGTAAACGAGGCATCGACCTCTGACTCAACCGCTCCCACATGTCGTGGACTGTTATCACTCGGAAGTCCAGGCAGCAATGAAGATGATAATAATATATCTCATATTATCATTATTTCGTTTTAAAATCTTCCCCCCGGCAGCCTCATACAATTTTGAATATTTTTCTGTATTGTTATATATTTGTTATGAAACTAAATTTGCATACACTTTATCAATACAGTTTATCCCATCTCCATACTTCATACTTACATACCATGCTTTACGTGTAAAATAATAAATAACTTCTATGGTTTCATACTTATGGGACACCCTGTATAACAGTCCCTGTAAAAACATTTCAATTTAAGAGAAAAATTCCATTGTTTTGTAGTGGTTAATGTGTGACGGTGACAACAAAACAATGGAATTTTTTGTGGAATTAGTGGAATGTTTTGTAGTGGAATTCCACTACAAAAGGGCATGAATAATCCGCCATTTTCTGCTAACGGATAAATGAAATTGACGGTTATACAGTAGACCTTCCTATAACACTGTTGATAATTTCGTTTTATATGAATTCCATGTTGTACGAGTCACTTAGATCTTACAAATACGTATGCCGGGCTGTGAAGGGCTCACGTATTTGTAAAATCTAAGTGACTCGTACAACATGGAATTCATATAAAACGGAATTACAGTATCAACAGTGTTATAGGGGAGGTATACTGTACTAATTCAATCATCTATCTTTTGATCTCCATTTTGTGAACAATAAGTTTTGTAACAGAATATTCATTAAATTCTTAAAAGTTTAAAGTTTCATTTTCTTCCATCGAAAGTAGAAACGTGACTAATTAAATAACAGGAAAGATCAGATGAACAAATAGCAACTGGCAATTTCCCTGACTGGAATTTCCTTTCCTGTTACAACAACAAAAACATACTAAAATATTCTTAATTAATGTAATTTTTTACAAATAAAATATTTAAATACTTCAAAAAACTTGTAATAATTCATTATAAAAGTATATTTTTTACAATTATCAAAGGTAAATATTTATACAGTTCTCTAGCGTCACTATCTTAGACACGTGATTAAACCAGTGTTTACTTTAAGTGATGCAACACTTCATCTTTATGTAATTGCAAAAGTAACAGGATGTAACTTGTGAATTATTTTACATCGATTTGGATTTTGGTGGCTTATAAAAGGTAACGTTAAGCAAACGTTTAGCTAATTAAAGTGTATTGTTGTGTTCGAAGAACGTGACTATTCGACTTAATGAGGTTATTTATCTTAATACAGCTACTGAATGTGGCGTACGGTTGCGTGGACTTCTGGAAAAAATGGACAGGGTATCGATGCATAAATTCGAAAGACATCAATTCCGAAACTAGATGCTACATGACAGAGAAGCTATCTTATGCTCAAATTATTCGCAGTTATTTCTATGTGTTTTGTAAAAACGAAACTATTTATGGGCAGTTAATGCGATGTTTAGAAGCTGAAAGTACAAATCACGTTTATATTAATGATTGTTATATGTCGGAGTTTGATGTGGGACAATTTGTGTCGGGGGTGAAAGTTATCGACGTCCTCGTTAACCTCGAGTCGACTGTTATGAATAATTTCGTTAGTGCTACGTTTAATGATATTCCCACTCTAAGAACAATAACATTGACTGGTTTAAGAACTTCGGGCGTGTTAAATGTGACCTTTGAAAATGTTTCTTCCGTTGCGTATCTCAACATCGAGAATTACGAGTTTGGGACCTTTATGCCGAGACCCTTTCAAAATTTATCCAGTCTTTTAACATTAAGTCTGAAAAATGGAGTTTTAGAAACGTTACCGAGCCAAGTATTTCAGGGACTTTATAATTTGAATATACTGAACCTGAGCAACAATCAAATGGAAGAAATCGATCCGCTCCTTCTCAAGAATCTCACTGAATTGCAAGTTTTGGATTTATCTGGAAATAAACTGATAAATTTACCGAGTGACTTGCTGTCCGATCTGTCGAATTTGATCTCATTTTTCGTTCAGGAAAATAGATTAACTGCACTTCCTGATAATTTATTCGCTGCCTGCCCAAAATTAGAGGTTTTTTCCGTAAGCTATAATCAGATAGGACGGTTTCCTCCTGGATTCTTCGCCGGTTTGCGAAACTTGAAACATTTCGCTGCTATAAACTGCAGTTTAATGCACTTGGAAATAGGAATATTTTCTGACGCAACAAACTTAACAGGAGTCTTTCTTACAACCAATGAAATTGTCAATTTACCGCCAGATCTTTTTAAAAATAGCAAGAATTTAGAAAAACTTTACATAGGAGTGAATAAAATACAGGACCTTCCTCCGGGCATCTTCGATGATCTCATCAATTTTCAATACATCCAATTAACGTTTAATCGTTTGCAAACACTTCCCACAAATGTTTTTCAGAATTTATCGTCTTTAGAAGTTCTTGAATTGGGATTCAATCGCCTCACTCACTTACCCGAAGACGTCTTTCTTCCACTTATTAACTTACGAGTCCTCGACATATCTCATAGTTCTTTCCTTAGACTTTCCGTTAAACAACCTTTCGGCAGAAGTAAGCATTTGACTAAGATTTCTGCCAAATTTTCAAATTTCCTGGCCTGGCCAATGATAAATTGGACGGAGCATAGCTTGACTTCCGTTGATTTCTCTAGAAGTAATTTTAGTAACGTGACATTATCGCTGCATACTCCTAACCGAGCCATCGTTGACCTGTCCGAGAGTAATATAAGGACCATATACATCGATACCCGTGAGTACGGATCTAATTTCATTACTTACGATTTGAGGAACAGCAAGATTATCTGCGATTGCAATCTTCGCCAATTTGTCGACTTTCTAAACGTAAATTTATTGACGGCATCCAAAATTTTTCCAAATCTTACCAATTTAGAGTGCTACGAGGAGAAGAAAAAGTTACTTGATATTACGACGACGTACCGCATGTGTCCTGTAACAAAAGATTGCCCCGTACATTGCGAATGCTTCCAGGACTTCGAAGGGGTTTTAGTAAATTGTTCTCGAAAAGACATGAGAGATATGCCTGAAATTCTTATCGAAAATGCTACTGTTGTGGATCTTACGCATAACAAAATTTCAAATGTTGATCCACTGTTGTGTAGGAATGTCACACATTTATACTTAAGCGACAATTCCTTAACTTCTATCGATAACTTACCACCGACTCTCACTTATCTTTCCTTAAACAGAAATCAATTAACTCGATTGCCTTCGTCCTTGATGTATCGGATTGATAAATGGAATGAGTTAAAAATTTTGTTAGCTGGAAACAACTGGAGCTGTGGTTGTGATTCTCTGTTTACCAAGGATTGGTTAATTAGAAACAAACACAAAATACTGGACTTCGCTAATGTTTCTTGCATGAGTGGTTCCGATTTATCCAGCTTTGTCCAAGTTATATCAACGGATAAATGCAAGGAGGAAGTGATTTATTTTGCATCATGGAAAACTGCACTCGTGTGTATTAGTTTGATTGTCTTTGTACTCGTATTATTAATTGTTTTAATTGTTAATGTCCGTCGTTTGAAAAGAACTATTAACAATTCGGAAAATGAATTACACAATGCCGTGGCTATATACTTTATAAACGGGCAAGAAGAAAATGTAGAAGTAAGATGAGCACTGGCGGGTCTACTATGAAACTAATGAAACTAAAGCTTCGTGTTTCCTAATCTCGGAGGTGCCCAAAGTGAGTTTACTTCTGGGTGTTGCCCTATTATTGCTGATTGCAAAGGAGTTCCATAACAGTCTATCAAAAATGTAGGTCCGCCAATGAAGACGAGAGAATTTTTCTTCAACTAAAATGAACATGAAAAATGTTTTGTAGTGTTTGGCATATTGTGTCATAACTTATGATAGTGGCATAACTAAAGTCACTTTGGATTGCCTGGTTGATGTGTCAGGAAGCGGGAGTGTACAGCATGTATGACGTTTGTAACAAGTACTAAATTAAGTTTTATATAATTGTATAGGCTTACAAGTGTCCAAAATTCATAAAGAAAATATAGCACTAGAAACACGAAATATGTAACAGCAGGGCCGCCAGAGAGAGTCCTGCTGTTATATGTTTCGTGAAGGGACGGCAAAAGCAGCAAATTGTCCTAAGTCTTAGAGAAATTAGGGGGTCCTTATACAATGGTTTTGTTTTCTTTTATTGCTACAGAATCCCAAATATGCATTTTGTCCCGACCTTTCGTTACCCTCTGGATGACTTTGTATAACTGTGATGATAAAAGTATTCGTTCGATAAAGTAATGGTTTTCGCAGTGACTCGAATTATTAATACCTAAGATCATATTTATGAATTGTGCGTTACGAAGTAAATTGTGTAAATCATTTCCCTTGAATGTGTGTACAATTTTACAAGAAGTGATTATATTTAACCTGTCTGGCAATAATGGGAGTATTGCCTTCTTTAGCGGCTTTAATACACCTGACATAGTTCTATTCCAAATGAAACGTTATGCCATTACATCTCTTATACAGTGTATTAAAAATGTATCTATGATAGTTACAATAAAAATGAATTCACCAAGAGATATTTCGTATAGGCAGCTATGAATGCCCTCTTTCAATGAAAATTGGAGCTAAACAACATACCAACTTATTTAAATTTTTGAATTATAAAAAAGATTATATGAAGAACTTATTTATTTTACTTTAACGCCATCTGGAAAACAAGAAAACCGTTGAACACTGGTAGTTGATCATTGGTTCGTGCCTGACCAAGGGGCTGGCTACCATGCAGTGTTCTGGGTTTTTTTCGGGTGTGTAACACCTGAACAGAATCCAGTTTCCACATAGGAAGTCCTGCTAGAAGTTATCAGATCACCCAAGTGTTCCATTGCCTTACTCCATCAATACATTGATACCAAATCTTAATGCTGACATTTTAATGTTTTGTGAATAAGATTACATTTCACCTTTGTATGTATGGAAACTTTTGGGACACCCTGTAGTATTTAATATATAATTTTTGTTTTAAATAGTATAAACACTTAATATGTACTTGTACCCGGAATTGAATTTTCACCTATGGTGG